AGGGGGAGACAACTGACCTCATACTGAGGAACATAGATAATGACAAGACGGGAACACATTTCGCCTGGCGACAGAAAAGCTCTTCTAATGGCCTCTCCTGCTGCTGCAGGGAATAAACCGCACACAGAACCACAGATAGAGGGTGTTGATTCCATCAGCTTAATGAAATCTTTGCTCATTTATCAATTTATTGTGAAATTTGATAAATATCCAACTTAAATTTACCACCTGGAACATCCGAGGGATTACTTCGCCAGCAAAAAGAATAATAATTTATAATCATAACAGCAAATTGCAGGCAGACATATGCTTCTTGCAAGAAACCCATCTTCCTGAGTTAGACTGTTGGAAGTTAATGAATCAACAACTCAGTTGAGTATTCTCATCAACTTTCAAATCAAACACAAGAGGTGTATCACTTCTAGTTAACTGACACCATTAATCCATAACAATACCATCACTGACCCCGAAGAATGATTCTTTATCACCAGTGCTCCCGCTGACGGCTTTAATATCACAACTGCAAACATATATGGCCTCAATGTAGACGATTCTAATTTCGACCATACTTTATTTTCTTTACTAAGTAACACCACAAACTCAAAAATAATAATTTCAGGTTACTTTAACACTGTCATTAACCCCATCTTGGAAAGGTCAAAACCACTGTAAATTCTAGAAACTGGGACTCCACTGAAATACTAAAGCAGTACATGAATGACTTTGGTCTTGGCAATGACTGGCGATTAAAAAACCAATTAGACAGGGAATATAAATGTCTCTCTCCATAAAACATAAATCATTCTCTTGCATTGACTTTTTTTCTCATCAGTAACTCAATCATGTCCAATAGTTTTTCTGATTGCAGAATCCACCCCATCAAAATCTGTGACCATCCACCTATTTCCTTCAGTCTTAATAGTGTACAAATCAAACACCCATGACAAGACGGTGCTTCAATTTATCTTTGTGTCAAGATTCTGATTTCAAAACTGTCTTCACAGAAGAGTGGGCATCCTTTTTGATCTTTGTATACAATTAACGGTTCCGTGATTGACCCAAAATATACCTGGAAGTATCCTACTGTTGGGCCTAAATTAGGGTCTCTGTTGGGCCTTTCTCAATGAGAGGTGGACATTTCAGGGGTCAGAAAGTAAAAGTCCCACCATGTTTTACCTCCACCCATCAACTCAACCAGCTGATTTTCCTGACTAGTCCAACCTCTGGTCTGAAGGGCTGTTTTATTTAGCAAATCCAGGAGGTTGGAACTAAATACTGGGGAGGACTTTTACTTTCTGAACCTGGATTGTCCACCTCTGCGGATAATTGCATTGATGCTTGACGAACTTTGGGGAGAAGTAATACACAGAATGGTCAAGCCCAGCACTGTCTTTTTTACAGAAGGATAGAGCCCGGCACAACACCACTGACATCTACCTGAATTTTAAAAGGCTTCTCAAACTGGGGCACTGCCCATACAGGGTGATCATAAAGAAAGGGCCTAATTTGGCGTTGACAAAGGCACACTGGCAAGCGGAAGACTACATAAATGGAGCTTTTTTCCTGGGCAAGCCACTAAGACTGGCCACAACTGTAGAAAACGTCTAACTGAAGTCAGGGAAATGGGTACAGCATAATTATCAATTCAACCTTAACACAGACCAATTGTACACAAACACACGTCACCTTCTCTTAATATATTATGCATGTTCACATACACACACACATACACACACACACCTTCCGTTCCTTCATATATCATTAATGCACATGGGCACATACGCTTTCCCTGCCTTAAGTTATTTAAGGTATGCCGTAGCACATGCAGGTATACACACACACACACACACACACACACACACACAAATGCATACAGTTCTCCTCCACAGGTGTAAGGAAGTGCAGCGCATATATTGTCAACTCTATTAAGAATAATATTTTATAGTGCAGTACTGCACTGTCCTCTCCTGAGCAGCCTGATGCAGAAAGAAGAGAAGCCATATTTTCAACAGTTACGTATATACAATTTTAAAAGTATTCTGTGATAAAATCAGAGGTTGGAGGCATTCGAAACTTCCTGCGGAGCCTGCCTCAGAAGAAAAAAAAAAAGAAATTTGTGTCCATGCAGAGCTTATGGTCGAGGGAAAAAAAAAACGTTGTCAACAAAGTAAGATAGGGATGAGTTATGAGGAGGCCGGCGGGCGGCTGACACCATGGGGGGGATCGCTGCTGCTGTGTTATTAATATATTTATCCTCCTCCGTCCACAGAACTCTGACTTAACCTGAAGGAGATGAATGAACAGAGAGCTGGGGGGGGGGAGTCTTGCTGTAGAGTTAAAAAGTATGGGGGGAGGGGGGTGTGTGTGAAGGGAATTCAGAATGCAATGTGGAGAGAGTGGGGAATTGGATATGTACTTGATTTGGGGCGTCTGCACTCACTGCTGGCTGTATGAAGGAAATATCAGATTGAAAAGTTGAGGAAGTAGAGGGGTTTGGGGGGGTACAGTTTATCTCGGGAGAAAAATGAACCCGTCGAAAAGTTAAGAGAAACTGGGCTGCAAATCTCAGCCCGTCTGACCAGCAGAGAGTGAAATGGAAAGAGTGGCAGTGAGGGTCGAGGACTCTGTGCTGTTTGGAAGATTTCAGTGCAGATTTTTATTGTATCTCCCTGGATGATAGTCGGGAGATACTATGGTTTAGTTCCGCCGCCACCGCCACGCCCACAGAGATTTTCTGTTCTAGGCTCTGGAGGCTTCAATGTTTCCAGGATTTTTTTCTAAATTTGCATAGTCAAAGATGTTTATTTGACAATGCTCAAGATCAATTTTCAGCAATTTCCGACATCCAATATGGCCGCTGGCAGCCATTTTGTCAAAAAAAATTTTTTTTGGAGATTTTATGTTTTCTGGTCATTTTGAGCCATTTTGAGCAAAAAAAAATTTTTTTGGTTATAAGTCACCTCTGGACTCTGGACTCTACCGGCGGCCAAGAGTAAAAACGGTAACATAGTGACTGTAAAAACTTGCAAGTGATCTCTGATGGGGATTGGGGAGATACACGACTCTATTTAATTTCTATATTTTCTATAGCTCTGTCCCTCATCCTTTTTCTGTCATTCTATATGTGTTTTTTCTTTCAACCAGAGTGTACTTCCTATTGGAATTTGGCCGTATATGTGAGCATTGTGATGAGAGATTGACGGATTTGACGATAAGGAGCATTGGAGGGGAGCAGGGGTTGAGGGTGGATCTCAAATCTTCAGATATTTGTTCAAAGATTTAAAGCTTTTCTTGTCTGTAAAAAAAAGAAAAAGTTTTAAGCCTTTTTTGTTTTTCTTCAGCTCAGATTAGGCATTGGCAGGGTGCGGGATAATTTTGCTGTAACATTTTGGCGCCTAAAGGTGTCAAAGCGGATGCCAGGAGCATCATGGAAAGGAGGACCCAACTGCAGGGGTGTGGATGTTTAGTAAATAAAGAAAAGTGACATCAAAAAACTAATACAAAACTCTGATGACAACTGAAAAGGGAGTGCACTGAGCAAAAGGGTGTTGCTTCTTAAGGCTACCTGCCTGTGAGGGAATGAAGGTTTAAATAAACAGGGAGAAACGGGTGAGATATTGAACTGGATAAGCAGGGGGGATAATGGAATAATTGGGTACAGGCGGGTAGCCAAAACTCTGAATGCCCAGGGGGAGGAGCCGGTGAGACCCCACAGCCTGGAAATATGATTGACAGGAACGCTGCAGGAAGACTATATGGGATGATGGAGCCATTTAGTCTCTCTCTCTATGCTGTTGGGTCTTTCCTTCCCAATGCTGCTCTGGCTGCTTTGGGAGATTTTAATTGTAGAGTCGCTGTAGGAGGTTTCTGACTCAATCCTATATTACAGGGCTTCTTCACAGAGAGTAAATGTCAGGTTTTTGTCTTTTTGCTATCCTCCAGAGACCAAGCAGAAAAAACACAAATAAAAATAATTTCACAGAATATTATTTTTGCTCATATTTTTATCGCGTAGGTTTCAGCATCTTTTGAATATGTGGTTAGGAAGAATATGATTAGATATTCATGTCTACATCTGGGGAAATGAACGGTTGAGTCTGAGGAAACTAAACTCTAAAGGAAAACAGACAAAACATTTTCTTTTCAATTTATTGGCAAAAAAATCGTTGTCATTATTTTGCGGACTCAAATGATGCTTGTCTCACTGAAAGCAAACAGATGTCCTCTTAATTAATATTTTTTACAGAGGAATGAGATTGAGAGGAAAAACAGTCTCGAGTCGTTCGATGCGAAGGCGTAATTTAGAGAGTGCTTCAGTGGAGGCTGTCATTTGAGCAGAGAAATTAGCCAATTATTTCGTAAAAGGATAAATTCTGTTTATATGTTTGTAACAGAGATCTGGACTGAAAATCTCCAGTGATAGAGAGGGAATGAACAGAATATCATAATAATGAATTCATTTTGTCGTGTTGGAGAGCATCTGGGGATCAAAACATACATATACCAGCAACATACAGTATACCAACATAAAAACTGATGTTGTGCTTGTATACACATATACAACCCCAATTCCAAAAAGTTGGGATGCTGTGCAAATTGTAAATGCAAAAACAGAATGATTTTCAAATCTCATAAACCCACATTTTATTTGCAATAGAACATAAACAACATCACATGTTGAAAGTGAGACATTTTACCATTTCAGGAAAATATTAGCTCATTTTGAGTAATGCTTCTATTCTTCCTCTGTGATCAAAAAGACATTTTATTGGACCCCGTGGGATAATTTGTCCTCTGCATTTGACCCATCCTATAGTTATGAGCAGTGGGCAGCTACAGAGCAGCGCCCGGGGACCAACTCCAGTTCTAAAGCCAGTTCCTTGGTCAGGGGTCCTGGTAGGAGTGTTCCTATGATGCATGTTTTTGTGGGCGGGGGAAACCGGAGTTCCCGGAGGAAACCCACGCGAACACAGGGAGAACATGCAAACTCCACACAGAAAGGCCCCAGGCCGGATTCGAACCCACAACCTGCTTGCTGTGAGGGCGACAGTGCTAACCGCTGCACAACCATGCCGTCTGTCCTTGTGTCCATATACTTTTATTTAAGAAAATCAGCACAAATAAAGTTAACTCGGCCACATAATGCCCTCTTGCTTAATCAAAAGCAAATGGGCCGACATACAGTCTGTGAATTATACTCTCGATCAGTAACTGTCTCTACTACTTTATTATTATTATTATTATTATACCCCTGTTTTCCTAACAACAAGCTTCAGTGGAGGTGTAGCGCTGCCATGGTTTCAGTCTTTGCATATGGATGTGACTGCAACATTAGCATCAGGCTTTCAGGAAGAGAAATGCCTCAGTGAGACGTAGGTAATGCATCACTATCTGCAGGGAATTAGAGGTGAAAACCCTGCTGCTAATCTCAACAGAACCACCTGTACTACAAGTCAGCAAAATACTGCCCACCCCCCACGCCTGCCCGCCTAACCGTGTTCATCTGACATTCTTGAATAAAGCAGCCAATATAAAAACTATGAATACATAGAGCATCTCATTACCATTTAGATATGAGATTGTACAGATATGAGCTCTAACAAAAGGCATGGGCACACGGCATTCTCTGTAAACACAGTTACTGCTCATCGTTTGAGCTTTATGAATTTGCTACTGACTGACAGCTGAGGGGGTGGGGAATATGTGCCCATTACTGTACGCACTCTGCCCTCCCCAAACCCCCCCCAAATAAAAAAAACATGTTCGTTCTCGCCGTTGACAGGAGTCAGGGACATGATTTAGCTTCAGACCGCCAGCTGATAGCCTTCTTTCCCTCCATACCTACAGCATAATTTACATTCTTCTACTACAGCTGCTCTTACATTCTCTGTGTGATGAAAGATAACAACCCTTGAAAATAACTACTCATTTCAGAACATAAGTGGCACACTGTTTTAATATAAAACTGTATATTGATTTTGAAGCACTTGCCAATCCTTATACTTAATGAATGTGTATTAAAATGAATATGACTCCTGAATGCAGGCAGTCCCTTGATGCAAACATAAACTCCATTAAGTTAACATGGCAATGAAGGGATTCAGAGCCGGAGCACCAGTAATGAAGACACTGTTAAATATATGGGGCTCAATGGTAAGTTCTCCTCCTTCATAACCAGCCCATTTGGGTACATTTACTGGATTGGGTGTCCAGCCAAATCCCAGGGTGTACAGACCTACCTCTCCCCTGTCTGGAATTGAGCGTGGGGGTCGTGGTAAGGGTGTCAGAGAGGTGCCATATGATGAAGTCTTCCGGTTGATTGGCTGTGCGTTGGGTCGATGTTGCCGGAGCGTAACCCACAGTTTTTTGAGTTTTTAGTGCTGGGATGGAGTGGAGTGAAGTACTGTATCTGACTTTTTGATTTTAATTGAGCGGTTCATCAGAGATGCACAGCCGCACACACACGTCCTCTTCAGACCATCTTCAATCAGGTTTATGGAGGGTGGGGTGGGGGAGGGGCGCGTGCGGAGATGATCCCTGTCGATGTGTTCCGCATGCAAATATTCAGAGCTGAAATTAATCCTGACAGGTTGTCATTATCCTAAAGATCCAGCTTTGTTAATATACTTTCTTTCTTCTCTCTGAAAAATTACATCGGCACTTTCTTGACTTGAAAAATTCACGGCACATAAGAGTTTCAGTGCCAAAAGGGTCACTGTTAATTTCACTCAACCAGAGGTCTTATAAGGCTATTACAGCTGTACTCTCTCTCTCTCTCTCACTCTCAGGTACGGTCACAGACACGGACAGTCATAAACAGACAGACAGACAGACAGGCAGACACATATACACACATAGACACACACACCCATACACGCGCACACTCATACTCAAAGACAGAGGACAGAAAATAGCACCATCAGGTCATTTTTAATGGTGTGACATGACAGAAGTGTGGTTAATTAATTGGAGGAGGGATGGGGCATAGATTCCTTATTTGGGCACCCCCTCCTTCTGCATCCTGAGTTAACCTTATTATACACACAGGTGAGTCAGAGGTCTTTTTACGAAGGGGGGTGGGGAGGTCAATTAGGAGAATTTTATGCCCTCTATCGCCCTCCACTGGAAACTGGTAGCAGGTGGCTTAATGTTTTCATATTTCTTATTTATTTACAACCCCAATTCCGAAATAGTTGGGACAAAGTGTAAATTGTGAACCAAATCAAAACGCAATGACTTTGAAATCACGCCGGCTAGTATTTTATTCACAACAGAACGGAGATAACATAGCAAATGTTGAAACTGAGAATTTTTACAATTTTATCCACAAAATGAGCTCATTTCAAATTTGATGGCTGCTACAGGTCTCAAAAAAGTTGGGACAGGGGCCTGTTTACCATGGTGTAGCATCCCCTTTTCTTCTTCACACAGAATGGAGGTGTCTGGGCATTGAGGAGACAAGTTTCTTGAGTTAGCTATGGGAATTTGATCCCACTTTTGTTTAATACAGGCTTCCAACTGCTGGAGAGTTTTGGGTCTCCTTTGACAAACTTTTTGTTTAATTATGTGCCAAATGTTCTCAATCGGTGAAAGATCAGGACTGCAGGCAGGCCAGTTCAGTACACGGACTCTTCCACTACGAAGCCATGCTGTTGTAATAGCTGCAGTATGTGGTTTTGCATTGTCCTGCTGAAATACACAAGGCCTTCCCTGGAATAGATGTCGTCTGGAGGGGAGCATATGTTGCTCTAAAACCTTTATATACCTTTCAGCATTCATGGTGCTTTTTAAAACATGCAAGTGTCCCACACCATATGCATTAATGCATCCCCATACCATCAGAGATGCTGGCTTTTGAACTGAACGCTGATAACAGGAGGGATGGTCTTTCTCCTCTTTAGCCCGGAGGACACGACGCCCATGATTTCCAACAAGAATGTCAAATTTGGACGTGTCTGACCACAGGACGCTTAGCCAGTTTGCTACAGTCCATTTTAAATGAGCCTTGGCCCACAGAACACGGCGGCGCTTCTGGATCATGCTCAACAATGGCTTCCTTTTTGCATGATAGAGTGTTAGGTGGCATCTGTAGATGGCACGGCGGACTGTGTTTACAGACAGTGGTTTCTTGAAGTGTTCCTGGGCCCATTTAGTAATGTCAATGACAGAATCATGCCGGTGAGTGATGCAGTGGCGTCTGAGGGCCCGAAGATCACGGGCATGCAGTAAAGGTCTTCGGCCTTGTCCCATACGCACAGAGATTTTTCCAGTCTCTCTGAATCTTTTGATGATGTTATGCACTGTCGATGATGAGACCTTCAAAGCCTTTGCAATTTGACGTTGAGGAACATTGTTTTTAAAGTATTCCACAATTTTTTTACGCAAGCCTTCACAGGTTGGAGAGCCTCTGGCCATCTTTACTTCTGAGAGACTCAGCCTCTCTAAGACATCCCTTTTATAGCCAATCGTGTCACACTTGATGCCAGTTAATTTTATTACTTGCTAAATGTTCTTTCAGCCGATTCTATTATATATTAATTGCTTTTCAGCCCATTTTTGCCTGTGTCCCAACTTTTTTGAGACCTGTTGCAGCCAGAAAATTTGAAATAAGCTCATTTTGTGGATAAAAATGTAAAATGTCTCAGTTTCAACATTTGAAATGTTATCTATGTTCTATTGTAAATAACATATTGGCTCATGTGATCTGAAATTCATTGCATTTTGATTTTATTCACAATTTACACATCGTCCCAACTATTTCGGAATTGGGGTTGTAAATAAAGTCAAAATTCTCATTCAGTCTTTTATTCTGTGACCCATTTGACATCCAGCAGCTACATGTACCTGATTCGAGAGCTGACTTCGATTCCAGCGTGCGTGTTGGTGTATTATATTTTATTTTTCATTTTTGGTTGCTGTGGAGAAATCCATCACTTTTCATCACCCCCATTAACCCGCGTATATTTTCTCCCATTTATGTTAATGCAGACCTGACATGGAGCTACTGCAGAGGAGATGGTATTGGCAGGAGTTAATTTCACTCTGTCAATACTGAGTGATTGCAGCCATTTAAAGCCAATTCCAGACCCAATGATTGCTGATGGATGAATAGAAAAACAATCTTTTTTAATCTGCTGCATCCACTCATTAGAAGTTATTTAGAATAACTGAATATCTTTGCTTCAAATCAAAGCCTTAATGAATAATCTGTATTCCACAGCTGTAATATCAAAGCAGACTGTGTTTGATTATTATTATTTTAGGTTATCAGTTTTTTGAGGAGGATTTATGAAAGCTTTTCTGTAGGATTTGTTATTTGAACGTGATTGGTCTGAAGAGGCATGTTTTTAATGACAGATCTTGGCATATGCTGATTCCATTGAATCTAAAGTTAAGATGTGAGACATATGCTATATGTGATTTTGAAATATCCTCTTTTGTCAAGGTACAATGCAGTAATAAAAACTTTTTTGCTTTTCTTTGATTTAGGCGCCTGGATCTGACCAGATAACTGATTTACACAGTTGTTTTCACCATAGCTGTCCCATTTTGCGCAATCAGGATGAGCTGATCTCTAAACTGAGTGTGGTACTCTAAACAGGGATATGGGGATTTCCCTTCTTAATAAGTGTAATTACTCACAGAAACTGAAACTTCACCTTCCCTGGAACGTAAACAAGACCTGCATGGGTGATTTTAATGAACAATACTGAACACCCATCCCCCGCCTCTCTCTCTCTCTCTCTCTCTCTCTCTCGCATAGAACCATGCACACACGCAGAAGGTAAAAGTGAATAATGCCCTGTGTGTGTTTGTGTGAGTGAAGTGCACAGTGAAGTGATCACAGAAAAATGAACTCTCACAGTGTCCATTTGATCGCTCTCTGTCAACTTAATTTGACTTTGAGAGAATTCAACTCCAAACATTTTATTGTGCATGTATACGCGTGCCTCCGTGCATTTATAGGTGCATGTGTGTATAAATGTTTGTGCATGCGTGTGTATGTGTGTGCATATGCAAGTGTGTGTGAGAGCATGTTCACCTGTATGCGCGCGCGTGTGTGTGTGTGTGTGT